GCTTATTTATTCAGCTTTCAGATGACGTATAAATCTCAATTTCGAAAAATTGACCCTTATGACTGGTTTTGTGGTCCAGGGTCACATATGAGGAAACAGTTATCTTTGTGGGGAAATATAAGTAAACTTGACTTGATTACTAAATTTCTATTGCACGCACCACATAATCGACCATGATAGCTTCAATCAATTATTAATCGATTGTCGATTAATCATTAGCATCCCTAATATATACAGTATATAAATATATATATATATATATATATATATATATATATATGTATATTTCCATAGGCAATCTTATTTTAAGATATGATCAATACTAAATAATTTCTTTGACTAGAAGTGACTCTGAAGTGAGAGTGCAATCTCTATACAATAATTTTAACAAAATCTTTATCCAGTTAAATCCTAGAAGTTCTAGTATTCTAGATAAGTTATGGAAATTAATTTGTCAGAAAATGTGAGAACCTTGTGTGACTCAGTTCAGCTGATTGACTGAGAAGATGATTGAATGATTCTTGCACAAATTCACACACAGACGATTATTTGATAACTGAAATGATCTTTGCCCAAACTCATTCTGGCAACCATGAAATGTTAAATGACTCGGTAAGTGTGTGTCAGTAGATTAGTGTTTGGCTGGGCTGGACACACAGGTCTGTTTTCGACCCACACCTGTGAAAGCATCTCATGTGACTTCCAGCACGTCCTCTGTGTTCTCCTGACACTGGACGCTTTCTGCTCTCTTGTTGCCCCTGATGAGTTGTGTTAGCATGGGCCTGTCCAGGGAAATGAAAGGATATCACTCTCATTAGGGCCTGAATGGGGGAAATAAAGAACAGGAAGGGCGTGAGAGAGGAAGTGGGCGGCCCGTGGTGTAAAGGGATGCTGGGTGTATATTTCACATTTACGACATTTAAAGGAATAGTTCACCCAAAAATGAAAATTTGGTAAAAATTCACTCACACATGCCATCCAAGATTAGGATGAGTTTGTTTCTTCATCAGATTTGGAGAAATGTAGCATTGCATCACTTACTTATGTGAATGGGTGCCGTCAGAATGAGAGTCCAAACAGCTGATAAAAACATCACAATAATCCACACCACTCCAGTCCACCAGTTAATGTCTTAAGTAAGAAACAAATCCATCATTAAGATGTTTTAACTTCAAACCGTCGCTTCCAGCTAAAATACAAATCCATAATATTGCTCTTGGCATCGTGAAGCACCTTTATTTTTAAGAGTGTATATGGTGTACAGATGCATTTTGATTTTCTACTTTTTCCCGTCATTTCATTTGTCTTTTAAAGCATTCTCACTTTTCTGAAACATCTCAAGATCTGCCTCTCCCTCAGCTGTGAGATGAAGGAAAGCGCCTCTTTCTGTCTTTCAGTCTGTTGAGAAGCCCGTTTGTGGCAAAGGAGGAAGAATCAGTCTCTACTCAGCACCTGAATACAACCAGGTACTGTTTCCTGTCCTTTGTGTTTGATTATGTGATCAGCCTGGATGGTGAGATGTTCTCTCACTTTTGTCTCTCAGCTGTGGTGATTTTGAACTTTTTACTTGAACTATTTTAGTCAGTGTTTTTTTTACAGAAAGTTCTATAATTTAGTAAGCCGACTCAATTCAGTGAAGAATTTTTCAATCTTTAAATCTATGAATCTTTATGTAATGAATTTTTCCAAAACATCTAGGCTGCCGTGATGCAGTCATGTTCACAAGAAACAGATCTTGTTTCAAAGAGTCAGTGAGTTGTTAATTTGACTGATTCAGTCTGATTTGTGAATGAATCATTCAGATTCCCACAGTTTTGGAAAGCCTGAAAATATCAGAGAATCTCAAAGTGGGATTTTCAAGACTAGGAAAAGTCATAGAAATTAATAAAACATTTTAAGATTTTGGAATAGTCATGGCAATATCCATAGACAAAGTATTTATTTTTATTTTTATAATTATTCATTTTTTTGGTTTTTTTTTTACTTAAAATTAATCTTTGAGAGTTGCTGGGTGTATATTTCACATTTACGACATTTAAAGGAATAGTTCACCCAAAAATGAAAATTTGGTAAAAATTCACTCACACATGCCATCCAAGATTAGGATGAGTTTGTTTCTTCATCAGATTTGGAGAAATGTAGCATTGCATCACTTACTTATGTGAATGGGTGCCGTCAGAATGAGAGTCCAAACAGCTGATAAAAACATCACAATAATCCACACCACTCCAGTCCACCAGTTAATGTCTTAAGTAAGAAACAAATCCATCATTAAGATGTTTTAACTTCAAACCGTCGCTTCCAGCTAAAATACAAATCCATAATATTGCTCTTTCTAATGAAAAAGTCTTCTCGTCTGAATCAGGAGAGAAATCTGCACAGATCAAGCACCGTTTACAAGTCAAAACAGCTCTAAACAAATATGTGGGTGGATTTTAATGTGAGATGACAAAAGGAGATGGACTTTTCTTCCTCATTGGAGGAAGCGTTATTATGGATTATGGTATTTAATTTTATAGTTAAAACATTTTAAGGATGGAATTGTTTCTTTCAAACACGCAGCGTTTCACTTCTCAAGATGTTAACTGGTGGACTGAAGTGGTGTGGTTTACTTGTGGATTATTGTGATGTTTTTATCAGCTGTTTGGACTTTCATTCTGACGGCACCCATTCACATCCATTGGTGAGCAAGTGATGTACTGCTACATTTCTCCAAACCTGCTGAAGAAACAAACTCATCTTGGATGGCCTGAGAGTGAATACATTTTCAGCAAGTTTTCATTTTCAGGCGAACTTTTCCTGTAAATCAGAGATTGAGCCAAAAGTACTGTTTAGTAGTTGTTTATGTTATTTTACAATCCATTTGTTTTATGAGTATCATCTTTGTGGCTCAGATTGGCCTGTAAGTGTGTGTGTGTGTGTTTCTGTTTAGCCTTCTCTCTTGATAAATGTAACGTCATCCAGACACACTTTTCAGGTCTGTCTGGATAAGGTTGATGTGCTGTTTGGTTGGTTTGACCTTTGACCCCATCTGTGAATGCATGCTGCCACAGTAAATGGTTTCATATCAGCCTAATCCTGAAATCTCCATCATTATGGACTTAAACCGAGACTTAAAATGTGAATGAGCTTTTGTGAAATATTCCACTACAGTTATTTTGTCTGATTAGCAAACAGTCCACAAAAGCGTGTTGTTCTTTTAGATATTCGGTCTAGTCTCGCCAAGAATGAACGGAGTGGGAACACGCGTCATATTGACACAAAACAACTCTGTCTGAGAAGACGTATAATGAGAGGATGAGGTGGAGGAGGAGAGAGTATGAAATCATCTCTGACTCATGTGCTTATTGAGATCATTCACACTGTGAATAACTTCAGTCACAGACAGCTTCTGATAATACAGAATGAAATATATAAATCTGAGAGCTCAGAATCTCAATTAAGGATGTAGTAGCAACTTTCTTTCTTTCTTTGGGTTTGTTTGGCATGCTGTGCTTCTCATACGATTTTCACAGTATGCTAATTCAAAATGTGCAGTATACATTCAGAGTACACTCACTGGATCCCACAATGCAATGCACTCGACTTGACCTTTCATTTCTAATATGATGAATGGAAAAAAGTTAATAGCTTTACCATAAATTGTAATAAAATGCAAAATAACCATTTTAAATATTTACTGTTTTTTTTTAAATACATTTTGCATAATATATGCATTGTATGCAGTATGCATGCATAATATAATATATGCTAGAGATCTTGCAATTATATATTCAAAATACTATTTTTTTAATATATTTATATACAGTTTTTTTTTTTTTACCATATTTTAATAGTAACAGTATTTTAAATGCTATTTTTTAATCCATTTTAGCTATATAAAATCATTTTATTTATTATCTAGTGTAATTTATAAAAGTGTGTTTTATACCATCTTGATATGTATTTATATGTAAAATACTGGTTTATTAAAGTTAAGTAAAACCATTAAAAAAATTAGTTACTTGAAATAAAATAAACTCTACCTGAAAAAAAATTAAAAAATAAAAATAAACTTTATTTTATTTTAGCTAGTTGCCAAATACATAATTTCACATTATTAGGTTAATATGATGTATCAAAATAACTAAAACTTAGTTAAAAATGAATAAAAACTATAAAGACATTTTAAAAAGTAATAAAAATGATTTAAAAAAAACGTGATAAAATTACTAAAATTCTAAAAGTAAAAATAAAATGAAAACAGAAATGATAAAAATAAACTTATTCAAAATATTAACAAAAATATAATAAAATATCAGTGACATTAAAATAACTGTTAATATATTTATATTGAATATCACTGGTGATTTACTTTTTTCAAATCTAAGGTAATTGTTGTCTCAATTAATCAATTAATTCTTTTTTTCTAAATTGTGATTTGTGATTCTATATTTATATTGCCGTTGTTTGGTCACATCGGCCATCTGTTGTTGTTTTGAATTGTGCTCTATAAATAAACAGACAGTGATGTTGCTTTATGCACTAAAGTACAAAGAAAAGCCTCTGTCTAATAATACATTTATGTTTGTTTGGAATATATATTTATGATGGATGTGTATTAGTGTATAAATACCAATATGTGAGTCAAAATGATGGATCATTTGTAAGTCGCCTTGGATAAAAGCATCTGCTAAATGAATAAATGTAAATGTGGAGCAGGTCACATATATGTCATTTTATATGCATTTTTCTATATTATACAGCACAAAACAATACACTGTGCCTGTTTTCCAAACACAAGCCCGCCTGTCTCTTTTTCTCCGTCCTCCACCCATGTTTGTCCTGCGCAATCCCAGAATTCCTCAGTGATATCATTGCTGGAGCATGTGTATTTGTTGAGCAGCGCTGTAAGCGTGAGTCAGGTGATTGTCTTCTCCAGCCTCCAGAAGCTGAACTCAGATCAGGTCTGAGACGGGTTAATCAGCCAGACTCATGAGGGCTGAAATGAAAGCTTGCGTCACATTATTGAATTGCTGTGGCGTCGTGAGAAGATCTTTTACTCTGTTCTGGCTGGAATGCTTGGAAATGAGCTGAGCGCTTAAACCGTTTGCACCGCCGGCTCCTGGTCAAATATCATTCAGGATTTATTGCTTGTGTAACAAGGGCACTTGGCTTCCAGTCTCGTGTAGCCAGACGTTTGACTATCGGCATAAAGTCCAGTTTGGAGCTTATTCTGTGTATTATTAATAGTATTTAAATTAACTTGATTAATGTGTTTATATTTTATATATATATACTATATATATTTGTGTGTGTGTGGTTATATATATACTAAATTAAATATATAAATTAAATTTCACTGTTAAAATAAATTAAAATACATTTTTAATACATACATATACACAAATTTAAAAGCATTCATTTTAAAACAATATGATATCTATTTCTATTCACTTATATACAGTGGGTACGGAAAGTATTCAGACCCCCTTAAATTTTTCACTCTTTGTTATATTGCAGCCATTTGCTAAAATCATTTAAGTTAATTTTTTTTCCTCATTAATGTACACACAGCTGTCTTGATCTGTGTCAGATTGTGGTAATGATAGCCAGTCTGCACATTTTCTTTTTTCAGTTTTTTTCTTCTTCTCCAGGACTGTTCTCTATGCCACAACAAATCTTTCAGAAATTGAAAAAAAAAAAGATGGGAAAGAAGAATAAACACAGGAAATTGCTGTTGACTCGGTGAAATTGCAGCGTCGCTCCATTCAGGGAGTCAGATGCCACGCTCTCCATCTTTTGTTTTTAAGCAGGGTCACGTTGAACGACATACCGGCGTGTTTATTTTGTTTTGAGCTTGACCTCTGACCCCCCCCCGTCATTCCCATCGAGCCCTTATTAGTGAACATTAAAATGTTTGGGTTTTGATTTTGTTGTAATTGCACGTCAAATCATTTCACTCTTCTGCAGCATTGGCCCAGCGTTAGTGTTTTTATTTGCGTTGGACATTTGTTTTGATAAGCGATTGTTATTTTGATTGGTTTTTTAGTACGCAATACTGTGAAATTGGTGTAATGTGGAGGTAATTGTAGGTTAATGGGAGGGAATGAATAAATAAATGTAAATATTAGTATAAACACTGAGAGCAGATGGAATTACTGTTATCTTAAATTAACTCTACGTTTACTTGGCCAGCGATTCTCGACTGCTGGGTTACAACATCAAAACGGTGAACAAAACTATGTGTAAACATGGTTTGTTTGACTATAATGTGTTTTGTGCTTTGAATTATTCATAGTAAAAAGCCAAAAATATTGGAAAGTTCATGGTAGTAGTAATAATCATAATCATCATCATCATCATCATTTATTGTATTGATTTAAAAAAAAATTAAGTTATTTTATTATTGTGTGTTTTATTATGTACAATAGGCCTATATTTCTTTAAGAATTATATATAAAGATATATAAAGAAACAGGGCTGT